TCTCTCTCTCTTTCTCTCTCTTTCTCTCTCTGCCTACAAATATTTAGGATGCATATTTTCTTTATCGTGTTGCTTTTGGTCGTGTTGCGATTGAACCTGTTCCGACTTTTTAGCCCGATAATTCTTACTCAGTGACATGAAAGTGTCCATAATCTTAGTGGTATCAAGGTAATCCATGTACTTCAATATAATAATACCGGCCAAAAATACAATGACAAAGCCAACGAAACCCATGATTTCACTGGCCTGGCGTACTATTAGAGCGTAGGCTACGAATGCCAGCAATAATAGTGCCATTAGTGCGGCGTTCGCGTAGCGCATACCCTGTCGGTGATTATTCATCACATGGATCTAGATCATTTTTATCGAGAGTGGATAATTAGTTAGTTACTTAATTATTTAGTTAGTGAGTTAGAGAGAGAGAGAGAGAGAGAGAGAGATGCCTGAAATGTAAAATATGATAAAACTTGTTTTAAGCACTTATATTCACTGTCAGTTTTTATTTAACTACCGGCGCATTCCTAAGTCATCGAGACTACTATTTATATTTTTTTAAAACATGATAATTTTACTGAATATACAGTACCCCAACAGTACATATACTGTATAATAGTTTCACTTGTTTTTTTGCAGAATCGCCGCATATATAAAGATTTAAAAACTGTTTTTTCTCAGAACTCATAATATCTTGGTAGTAAAAAATATATTTACTAAACTTTTTGGTATATATCATTTAGTGTTATATTAAACATTTTATAAACTGCTGTGGTTAATTGCAATTTGCACTTATATATAAAAATGTTATACAAATTCAATTTTTTATTCTGTGCTTGTGTTCAGGTATTTGTAAATAAATATACGGTTTTGTTTAAAAAAAATTATTTAACAAAGCTTAAAATAAATAAATTGTTTTTTTTATCAAGCTACTTTTTGTCAAAATAAATGGCAATCACACTATATGCAATGAGCGGACAGAGAGCCAAATGGACAAAGCAATGAGCAAGCTCATCGTAATTGGTAAGCAAACACATTTATAAAAATAACAATAGTAAAATAAAATAAATATCGGTTAATTGGCATCTAGGTTAAAGCCTTAGTATATTTATATGTATTAATATGTGTACTTTAATAAAACAAACACATTTAAATCATTTTGCACCAAGGTCAAAAAAGTTTAAAATTCCCGACAACCGCCCGACAACTGCGCCCCTACTGTAACCACGCGCTGAAAACCTTAGACCAAATCACAGCTTACAGCGAACAATGTATGAGCAAGTTTGGCCGGGACGCGGCCAAGGTGCTTTTGCACTCGGTCACCACTGAGCTACGTGGTGTTTGTAAGACTGGCCGTCTGACCAAACGGGCCAAGGATTTGATGAAAGCGGCACCATGCGCAAACGCTGGGTTGAAAAATTTTCAAAAATGCAATACCAAACTTATTGAGAAATTTACCGGGGTCATGAACGCCCCCGTCAAACAGCGTATACCCATGAGCTGCTGGTAAGTGTATTATTTTATTATGTTTAATTAAAAATTTTGTGCAAATTATTTAATTAAGGTAAGTTTGTTTAGTTGCATAAAGTAAATTATTTAGTGTATTTATTATGTTATTTAATTTCTAATAATTAATTAATATTCAATTATTAGAAATTCTTAAAATTTACAGACATTTTCTATTGACGTATAGATAATATCATATTTATCTCGTTTAAAATTCTTAGAATTCTCTAATTACTTAAGATTCTTATGTCATTCAAATGTCACATTTGAAAATTCAATGTATATTTACAAAAGACAATTAAATCTAAACCAGAAGAATACTTATTGTTTTAATAAAACAATACTCTTAAGCTAAAAAACAAACAAAAATACTATTTACACAATATGGTAAAAACAAATAGCAAAAATATTATTTCATCACTCCAACTTATAAAACAATGCAAAAAACAAATAACTTAAAACTTTTACCAAAATCAAATACTTAATACTAGATGTTATGATTGTAAAATCTAACATAATGTTGCTGCAAAATAATTAATAGAATGATCATTACTAAAATTTTTACCACACAGCAATTTTCACCAACTGATCCGTTGCCTGGCCGACGAGGCCGACGATGTCAAACAATGTAGCCGTAAAACAGTGGACTTTATCGTAAAATATGTCAACAAATTGATTGAGCCCATACTGATGATCATGTGCAGCGACTATAGCGAGCCCAGTGATAGGTGCGACGCGTTGGTCGAGCGCACCCCCAACGCCACGGCATCCCAGCGCAGATACAAATCATTTTTAATGCCCATTATTAATGTGGCCATGAGTTTGGGCGATGAGAGTAGTGAACTAGCTAAGTAATTAATTACTTGCTGCATTCCCCAGTGATGCTAGTTGGTCTGGGAGGGAACAGGGTATATTTCAAAAACTACTGAATGACTATGTTTATGATAGTAGTGCATAATCACGTACAATGTACTTTATATAATTATAGTATTTTTAACGATTATAGTGATTGTATTACTTTTTGATATTATGAACAGCATTTTAATTAATTGATCTAGCATTTTACAATTAATTATCTCATACTACTTTTATTTTTGATTTAGAAATATAATTGTGATAAAATATCTTTTTAAAGCAAAAATTGTATTTAAATAAAACTAACATTAAATTATTATTTTTTAAATAAAACAACAATTATTAGTAAAAACTATTATAAATATATTGTTAAAAATCAAATTAATTGTAACTTAATTAAAATGAATATATTAATCTCTCTCTCTCTCTCTCTCTCTCTCTCTCTCTCTC